AGCGAACAGCACTGAGAGACCCTCCACTCTGAGCGTACCACTCACGAAGCTGGCGAGGCGTGAGAGACACGCGAGAGGGTCGCGGGAGCTGCATCTGGCCGCCACCACGAGTAGAAGCAGCAGGAGTGGTAGTAGGAGTAGCGTCGCCACCCCTACAGCCCCAACCAGCGTACCACTCACGCAGCTGCTGGGGCGTGAGGGACTCACGCCGGCGTTGCTGGGGCTGCATTTGGCTCCGCAAGTAGAAGCAGGAGCAGGACTAGCAGCAGGGAGGCAGGCAGCCAGGCAAGCCAAAAGGCAGGCAGGCAGGCAAGCAGGCGACGCGCAGCGTGCTAGCAGGGCAAGAGCTCACCAGTGGTGGGAAGAGTAGGCTCGGCGACTCAGCTGCTCGGCAGCTCGGCGGCTCGGCGGCTCAGGCGACTCGGGCGGCTCGGCGGCAAGGCGGCTCAGCAGCAACTGCAGCTCAGCAGCTCGGTGACTCGGCGGCTCGGCGGCAGGGCGGCTCGGCAGCAACTGCAGTTCAGCAGCTCAGCGACCCGGCGGCTCGGCGGCAGGGCGGCTCGGCTGTGGGGCGGCTCGGCTGCTGCAGGTGAGCGGCTCGGCTGCTGCAGTGGGAGAGGAAGGAGGAGGAGAAGCAGGGGAGGCCACACACCTGCCACCCGTCTGCTGGCCTCTCTCGTCGCCTGTCGAGGCGACCTGAGGGGGGCCGCTTGCGGCCACCGAAGGAGCCGCGACGGGCGACGGGAAAAGGGGGGGTGGGTGGTGGGGGGCCGGTAGGTGCAGCGGCGGGGCCAGCAGGTGCAGTTGCGGGGCCGTCAGGAAGGGACGGCGGGGCCGTCAGGAAGGGACGGCGGGGCCGTCAGGAGGTGACCGGGCCGCGACGGGGGCAGGCGGCGGGGCCGCGTAAGGGCCTGGGCGGGGCCGCGACAGAGCCGTCGGCGGGGCCGCGTGAAAGCCGGGGCGGGGCCGCGTAGAAGCCGGGGCAGGGCCGCGCGAGAGCAGGCGGCGGGGCCGCGAAGGAGCCGGGGCGGGGCCGCGTGAGAGCAGACGGCGTAGCCGCGTAAGGGCCTGGGCGGGGCCGCGACAAAGCCGTCGGCGGGGCCGCGTGAAAGCCGGGGCGGGGCCGCGTGAGAGCAGGCGGCGGGGCCGCGAAGGAGCCGGGGCGGGGCCGCGTGAGAGCAGGCGGCGGAGCCGCGTAAGGGCTTGGGCGGGGCCGCGACAAAGCCGTCGGCGGGGCCGCGTGAAAGCCGGGGCGGGGCCGCGTAGAAAGCAAGCGGCGGGGCCGCGACAGAGAGGGCGGCGGGGCCGCGTCAGTGAAGGCGGCGGGGCCGCAGGGGAAATGGCGACCCGAGGGGTCGCTAAAAAAAAAGATCGCGCCTCGGGGGGCGCTTCGGTGGGCCCAAAAAAAAACGGTCCGTAGAAGGACCCGCTCTATACCATGTGAGAATAAGCGAACAGGGATGGATGAACTAGAAGTGAAAAGAGTACAAGTAGTAAACCCTAGAATTGTGTACCCCCTATAGGCTAACCCACTGTAGCCTACACAAGTATAACATATATGATGTTTGACAATACCTATCGCAATGTTAATAGCTTTTGATGTAACTATTCGCCGCCTTTTCTTCATGTGTACGTGAAAAATACATGGTCTGGTGGTTAGTGCACGAGAGGCATATTATCAATCCTTTGCTTGAGTATATAATTCACTCATTACGTATGATGCGTGAATGCCCTCCGAATAGTTGAAACACGGAGGCGCCTAAATACCAACTCCTACCAGGGTAAGACAGGAGCCTTATCACCTCTTAAGCAGTAAGGCTTATTGAAGAAAGGCTACTCAGAGGTAGAAGTTCACATTAGAAACAACGCCAGAGAGATTATTGTTGCAAGATCTAACTTTCTTATCTGGAACCATTTATAAGCAACTGGACAAATCACATCCTATCCATAAATCACCCTTTTTCATAAATGCATATTGGTGTAGCATGTAAATTACATGTCTATGTATGGTGCAGGTTACATAGTGCTATATCGACATCTGTTTGCACGAGAGGATTTCGCCAAGCAATCGGCGTACGGAAACGAAGGTGACGCTGACAAATGTCAGGCCAACTGACTTAGGTAAAGAAGCACTTCACACTCTCGCTGGATGGCAGGGAGTTCTTCCATGCTTGCGGGCAGCTGACAAACCGTTTGGTTTCTGTCACGGCGAACTAATCCACCTGAAACACGGTGTCAGGAGTTGACGTTTTGACTGCCCGTTGACTAAGCTGCCGCTGAAACGCGGCTCATCTCCGTGGAAATGCTGGTGGTTCCGTACAGCCGGGCTGTCCGCGTTGATGCATTGGACGAATGGGTTTCGAGGGCCGGCGACATCTTTCTTGCCTGACGCGAGCCGGCTTGGGTAACCCGATGGTCCCAGAGCCACTCCACCCACCCCGCACAAGCCCTTATTCGTGATAAAAAACGCGAAAGGAGTTACCTTCTTAGCGAGCCTCGCATTGCTACCCAAACCGCGCGTTCGTGAATTCCAAGGTACTCCTGATGCCTGTTTGAGCCCCTCCCGGTTGCCTTGTGAAGGGGGCATATAAGCTGTATCGTGCGTTTCGCATAAGTTCGTCAACTTCGCAGCTAGCTAAAAAGAATTCGCATGTGCTTATAAACAAGACCCTGCTACCTAGTTACCTAGTTTGACTTCAGTCTCTTCTGCTTGACTTCGGTCTCTTCTGCTTGACGCGCTTGTAATGTGGGTGCATGAAGCTGGGGAAACAACCTCGGGTGCAGCGTGTCCATCCGGCGCAAGGCAAATTCGCGCGCATGGGGTGAGCATCAGCTGTATTGTACTGCCGAGTCAAACAGCTGGAAACCGTACCACCTGGAGCAATGGTGCCTTCTTTACACAATTTCTTTGAAAAATTAGTGCTCATCACTCCTCTCAATTTCACACACACTCTCAATTTCTCACTCTTCCTTTTTACTCCCCGCTCCATAACCACTTCAGTCCAAGCTCTGACACGGGCAGACAAGTGAGACTGATAGCACCAGAGCAGGCGAAAAGTGCCTACAATTTTTCATTTTCTTTGACGTAATCCCAACTCAAAAAAGAATTTTACTAATCGTTAGATCGACGCCAGCCGCTGAATGGCCTTGTTTTCACCTGCTTTCAACGAGTTCCATCGCCAGTACGAGTTAAGAGAGGAGCTCGGTCGCGGGCAATACGGCGTGGTGCATCGCTGCGTCAATCGCGCCACGGGAGAGCAGTTCGCTTGCAAGCTCGTCGGCGATTCTCTCAACCTGAAAAACCCCGCCACAGCCATGCACGCGGCTCGACGCGAAATCCGGAACTTGTTGCTTTTAGACGGCTGCAGCCACGTGGCGGCGCTTAAAGACGTATACCGCGACGAGGAATCCAAGTCGCTGTACCTAGTTATGGATCTGTGCGCGGGAGGGGATCTTTTGCGCCGCGTGGAAGAGAGGGGGCGGATTCCCGAGCGCGAGGCGCGCAGCGTGTTTAGAGACATGGCGACGGCGGTGCGTCAGTGCCACGAACGCGGCGTGATGCATCGCGATATCAAGCTCGAGAACGTCCTCCTCTGCCCCAAGCCGCTGCGCGAAATGCGCCACAGCCATGGCATGAGTAACCGTGGTACCGCTGAGGCGGCTGCACAACCGCGTGAAGACCATGCGTCTCCCAACGAGATGTCATCTTTAGATCGTAACGGCAGCCTCATCAGCAGGAGTTCTACTACTTCTCTTGCTACTACTACTAGTAGCACTGATGATCAAGCCATGGACGATCTCCGGCTCTACACGGCCAAGCTGGCGGATTTCGGCATCTCACTCCGCCTGCGCGCTGATCAGGAAGCAGTGGGGTACGGCGGAAGCTTCCCATACGAAGCTCCCGAGATGATTGCTGGCGAGGCGTATGACTGTAGCGCGGATATCTGGAGCCTTGGGGTTACCCTCTATGCGATGCTGTCTGGGTGCTGGCCGTCGTTTAATGGAGGGGTGCGGCGATTGGATGAGAGCAGGGATTGGGAGGATTCCTGCTGGTGGTTTGTGTCGCAGCAGGCGAAGAATCTCGTCCGTCGGATGCTGTCGGTGGATCCTGAGATGCGACCGACGGCTGAGGAGATTTTGAGCGATCCCTGGGTGAGGGGGCAGGGAGGAGAGATCGTGCGGTATAAGCAGACTCCTTTTCTGCAACAAGCAACTCTGATGAGCAAAGGCCGGTCTGCTGGGGCCAGAGGTCGCCGCAATATGACTGAGGGGATGCAAAAAGGGAATTCAAAGAGGAGATATTGTGGGGCTGCTGCTGCCGGTGCAGCGGAGACCAGCAGCACAGCGTCGACAGGGGTGATGACAGTGGAAACACTACACTCATCCCCTTCACAAACGTCGTGTCTTCTTCCATTATCTCCCCATCCTCCTTTCCTGGTTTCCATGCCCCAGAAGGCTGTAAGCAGCGTGGGTTCAGAGATTAACATTAATGGCAACAACGGTAATAGAGTGTACAGGAGTCAAAAGCCACAGGGTAGCAACTAAATGATTGCAAGGGTTGCCATTGCCAGAGGCAACAGCCATAGGTAGCTAGGAGCTAATTGAGTAGGGTTGACATGACATACCGCAAAACATTGTATGCAAAGGCATTAAAAATCTACAATAGGTGCTTCATAGAAAAACCACGAAGCAAGGCACCAGTTACATCCAACAGACCATTCATAAATACAAGTCGAAGTGCATCTGTGAATCAGCAGCATCCATGTTCGTGGAGACCACCGCTGTTTCAGTTCCACAGCAGGCGCTACCACCCACCCACTGCCAGGGAGCAGCAGAGGCCAACAACAATGTATTGCCACCTTAACAGCAGGCAGACCCCCCTCAGAATGCACGGACGCCAGCAGCTTGACCAGCTCTTTCACAGCAGGCTCTGCCACGGCCACAGCGACAGAGCTTGGCTTTCAATGTGTTGCCGTTCCAAAAATCACACACCCTCTAATTTAGATGTCATACACCTGCACGGACGCCAGCAGCTCATCCTGTTCTTTCACAGCAGGCGCTGCCACGGCCACGGAGCGACACAGCTTGACGGCATCGGCAGGAGTGACGAAGAGCCACTGCTCGCCCATCTCGGCCAGAAAGTTGGCGTCCCACAGCTTGCGCAGGACATCCCTGGATGCTCTGGAGAGGCAGAGCTGGAGGAGGGACGAAGGGAGGGGGTGGGGGCTGGGTTGAAATGGGTGAGAAGAGGTGGTAAGGGATTGCGGTGGGTGACGACGAGCCACTGCTCGGCATCTCGGCCAGGAAGTTGGCGTCCCACAGCTTGCGCAGGATGTCCCGTGACGCACTGGCCAGACAGAGCTACATGGGAGTGAGGGTAAATGGGGGTGAGGTTGGGTGGTAGTGAGAGAGGTGAGGTTGGGTGGTAGTGAGAGAGGTGAGGTTGGGTGGTAGTGAGAGAGGTGAGGTTGGGTGGTAGTGAGAGAGGTGAGGTTCGGGGGGTAGTGAGAGAGGTGAGGTTCGGGGGGTAGTGAGAGAGGTGAGGTTCGGGGGGTAGTGAGAGAGGTGAGGTTCGGGGGGTAGTGAGAGAGGTGAGGTTCGGGGGGTAGTGAGAGAGGTGAGGTTCGGGGGGTAGTGAGAGAGGTGAGGTTTGGGGGGTAGTGAGAGAGGTGAGGTTCGGGGGGTAGTGAGAGAGGTGAGGTTCGGGGGGTAGTGAGAGAGGTGAGGTTTGGGGGGTAGTGAGAGAGGTGAGGTTCAGGGGGTGACGAAGAGCCACTGCTCGCTCATCTTGGCGATAAAGTTGACGTCCCACAACTTGCGAAGGACGTCACTGGATGCACTGGATAGGCAGAGCTGCAGAGGGGTTGAAATGGGTGGGGAGAGGTGGGAGGGGAGTAAGGGGAGTGAGGAGAGTGCGGGGGAAGATAGGAGCCACTGCTCGCCCATCTCCGCCGAGAAGTTGGCATCCCACAGCTTGCGCAGGGCATCCCTCAATGCACTGGACATGCAGAGCTGTAGAGGGGTGGGAGAGGAGGGATGAGAGGGAAGTAAGGTGAGTGAGGGGGGAGCACATCCCTTGATGCACAACACAGGACAATTAGAGCTGGAGCGGGGTGAGCTGACAGGTGAGGAGGATGGACAGGCGGGAGTGAATGAAGGGGCGAAATTATTAGATGTGAAAAGTAGCCATGACCCACAGCCATCAGTCACGACTCACCAGCCATCAGCCCATGTCCCACTTGAATGCTCTTCTCGGAGAGGCCTCAGTGTGGCTTCCAGAGCTTCTAGAGCCCGTTGATGCCTGATGGAACTGCCTGCGAGGCCACGGGCCTCATTGCTCACCACATCACACTACAACATGTGACTCATCTCCCTTGATTCTCAATATTTGTTACCTGAATGCTCTTCTCGGACAGGTCTCGGTGCAGCTCCTTCAGCAAATCAATGCCCGATGGTACACCTACAAGGCCGCGGCCCTGATTGCTCACAGTACTTACCACATCACACTACAGTACCGTGCTTCTTAACTCGTCAGCACCTGAATGCTCTTCTCGGACAAGTCTCGGTGCAGCTCCTTCAGCCGATCAATGCCCGATACATCAATCATCGCGGAAAAGGAAATCTGCGATTTTGGGTGTGCGAAGGTTTTTCTGCAAACATGTTGCAGTTTTGTTGCGACGAGTGTCGAAAAAACACCTACCCCCAAAAGTGACTTTCCGCATACTGATTGTGAAACCGAATACCAGTGATTCAAAGTCACTGGAACTTTGCACCACAAAAAACCCGACCCATAATCGCACCGCGCCCAACTGTTCCTCGAGATGACATGCGCCTCGGCGTTTGGCCGGAACCGCATACTTGACATTGCATTTCTCGCTTCGACGATTAGGGTTTAGGGAAAACCGAACCTCGCCAAACATCTTCAACATACAGAGAATTATTCGCAAATCTCGTAACTTCAACAGATTGAACAACCAAATATCCAAATTTAAATTACAAAACGGCAAAATCCTAACACCACACATCTCTCAGCGCATTACCCAGTGGTTAGCTCACCCCTTACACCATCATCTGACAACCCCCTACAGAAACCACTCGTTCAAAAACCACAAACCACACACCAAATAAACCAGCAGCAGCAGATCACCAACACCTTCAATGTGTCACACAAAGGTCTCCCATTACGGCAACGACACGGCCAACTATTCCTCAGCTTACAACATCCTACTACCATTCACTTCAGTCCAGCGACGACCCCTCGTCAGACGTCACGACGGTGCGAGAACGCTTCAATGGGGTCCTGCGTAACCGGCTTATCACCTCCTGGTTCAGCGCCCCAACTTCTGAAGGCACATCAGCAGGGGCTATGCCGAGCTCATCGGCGTGGCGTGTGTACGCATGAGTGACAGAACGTATCACGCGCCTGCGGCTACGGGGATCGCTCAACAGTGGGCCTTTAGGTATGCACATTTCCCCTCCTCCGCCACTAGAGCCGCTAGAAACTGGCTCGAACACGATACCCGCTTCCTCTAACAGGGTCTCGTCGCAATCCACATATTCACATGCGGTCATAAAGGTACCAAGCTCGATCTTGAAATCCGCAATCAACATCTGCAAATCGACTGTGGTCGACACCAACGGCTCGTACATGCCCGCCGCAAACGTTCCGTGCAGGTGTCCCATACTGGAAGTCCACGTGTCCGGAACACAACCAGCACGCCACCAGCTACGCTGCATGGTCGCACTTGACACGCGCTGCCATGCCAGACCAATCCATCGCAGCATGTCGAAATTATCAACCACCGCACGCGGCGCCGAATACCTGTGCTGACACTCGGGTTTGCGCACAACCCTTTGCATAAGAAACACACAGTACTGCGCCTTGAATGCATCAACGACTCCGTTCATGTGAGGCATGCACATAGCTGGAACGGCGCCAGACACGTTCACAAACCGCATACAAACTAGGTGCTCCACTGGAAAGCCGTGTTCCACTGTCAGCGGGGAAACGGGCGCAGTGATGCGATGCCCATCGTTGCACACAAGGACGACAACTCTTCTGTCCTTGCTGAAGTGGTCGTCGTTAATCTTGTCCATGTACTCCGTGAAAATCTGGACTCAAACACAATACGTATAACAGGCGTCCATAAGAAACCCTCTCGTACAAAACCACACCACGCGCACGTGTGGCTCCCACATGGACAGCTTCAATGCAGCCTCTAAAACGTACCTCCGGGGTAAGTCTACCGCTCTTCGTGTAGCGCACGACCACCTCCAGTTCACCCTCCCTGCTCCCGCTGTTTTCAGGGCGCTCATCCGGCCGCAGTACGACGAGAGGCAACGCAGTGCAGTTCCCGGCCGCGTTGAAAAGGATGCCAACTGTGATGACGCGCTCGCCGCATATGAGACTACGGGGATAGTCTTGAAGTGACCACTTCGGTAGCCGCGATGGAAGGAAGTGTAACTCTACAAACCAAAACACATCATCAGGTCGCGCCTTCAACGCCTGAATGAGGCCCTTGATACTAGCCATCAATAAATGCAGGGTTGAGTCTCGAAACTGTGTCAACCAGGTCGAAAAACTGCATACCATATATGCAGTATGGACTTCATCCCGCTTCCAATGTGAACCTCCACTGCTACCCAAAAACACGCACTACACTCGTACCTGACATGAAACTGTCAGTAGAGCTACACTGTGAGATCCCCGATCGATCCTAGGGGGGGTTACAGGCGCATTTACCTGGGGGGTTATGGGCGCACTGACCCGCTACTGAAACAAGCCCTTTTATCCCAATGGTCTAGTGGTTGGGATTCTGACATGGTATCAGAGCGGTCTCGGGTTCGAATCCCGGTGTATGCACATGTTGGCCATTGCCACTGTGCTCAGTCCTGGGCCTCCCAGTGTGGGGGGGTGTCAGTAGAGCTACACTGTGAGATCCCCGATCGATCCTAGGGGGGGTTACAGGCGCATTTACCTGGGGGGTTATGGGCGCACTGACCCGCTACTGAAACAAGCCCTTTTATCCCAATGGTCTAGTGGTTGGGATTCTGACAGAAACCGCAACCCAACGCCGATAAGAAATGTGTTTGGTCGCTCCATTTGTTGCACACGCATTGGCCGGTTAAAATACAGTCAAACTCATAGCCACGCAAACGCAATCGAAACGAACACACGTTACACCGACCACGCAATTCAACAACACTACTACACACATCCCCTCTGCAACCACACAACCTCACCTTCCTCTGTCCCAAACGCACACCACACCTCCAAAGCTACCAATTGACATGTCGCTCTCCAATACGTCAACCCGAGTGGGGAGAAGATTCAACCACACATTTTGACCAACCAAAAGATCGGAGCACCACCAAAAGAGCCACTTCAACCATTTACATCAAACCGAAAACACAGATCTCACGTCACATGAATGCAAATGACAATAGAAACGCATACCACAGTAGTACGCGATTTAGGATCCGATAGAATTAATCGAACATCCCTATCCAGTCAACGTTTCGAACATCTGGTTGCACCCTTACCACATACGCACAAACTTAAAACATTTCAACATCCTCATCACGCGATGTTTCACGAAATCGCCCAGTAATATAACCCCAACAACCACGTGAGCTCTATAACCGTTTACTGCAAACAATGGTAAACAAAACCCCCAATCCCATCCAATCCCACACGACTACAACATAAAACAAATCCCCCATATACATCAAACTGTCCACGCACAACTCATAAGCTGGAACAGTATCCTTTCTTGCAGTTGCTAACACACTGCTCTACTCACACAACAAAAACTTGTTCAGCAGCAAAACCTTGGAGTTGCTGTAAGACGGGCACACGTGTATCACTCGCAGTATGCTTTCCACCTCCACTATGGCATATCTGCCCTCATCTCGTCTGGGGCATAGCTGCTTGCATGTGGTCAGCGGGCACTGTCCAACCTCCTCGTAATACCTCAGGTACACGAACGCCTTCCATGCACCATCTTCGTCAGTTGTGGTGAAGATGCACAGGCACTTTGCGTACCATTCTCCTTTGCATGTGGAATCCATGACTGCCACGTCCGAGAACCATTTCTCTCTAGGAGATGCCTTGACGAACGTTCCTTTGGATACTAATGCACCTCCGCGAGTCCGTGGAATGGCCAAGGCGTTGTGCACCTGCAACAAAAACCGCATATCCGATTTAGCGTCAGCACATCAGGTTATTGTAAACCGGCCTATTGGTCGACGGATGAATATGAGCCCATCTCCTACATTCAAACATCTCTACAACATACCTGCACGGCGGCCCCACTCAATCCAAGTGTTTCAATTTCTGCGCTCAGATACTCCATCTCCTCCCCCAATGCACAAATGAAGTCCGACATCACTGCATCTGGTGTACCGCATACCCGCATTGCACGAAACTTCTTGGTCAGCACCAGTTCCTTCGTGCGAGCGGCCTGCCATCATGAACCAACCAGGACCGGGTTAAGACAGGGTTTATATAACACGGTAGAAGGATAACATCGCCTGCACCCACAATGCCCCCCTACAACCAGAGCACGCACCTCACGTAAAGCAGAGACGTATTGTCGTCCTCCGCCCGCATCCGCGGCCACTTCTCTATAGATCTCGCGCTGCACATCTTCTTCCACAATTCGTCGAGAAATGTCCTTCCAGTTGCTTCCCCTCACGGGTGTCTTCACGGTGCTTTTGTGCGTCCGTTCCCACATCTCCGTGTTGTAGTGGTGAGGCATCCCACGAGTCACAACGTTCTCTAGCAGATGCTTAATCATATGCACCTTCGGCAGTTCCCAGTGCGACTTCTGATTCTTGAACGCCCGTGGCAGCAAATCCAAGAGTCTGTGTAACAATGCCGTGTCAAATGGTGGAAACCCTCACACATTTGTCACACAATTCGCCGCACCATAATACATTTTAAGGTTCATCACAGAGTAGCGCAATACCCAACCCAAACCGAAACAGGTGCTTACTTGATAGCATGTTGTCGTGCGATAGCGAGCGTTGTCTGGGTGTGCGATTCAACGCCCAAGAATGCCTTGTAAAAAACCGCATACATGCGGAAAGCGCGGACCTGAAGCGCTCTCAGCTCTCCAGCCTCATCCGTTTTGGTAGCAGTCTGATCTGCGATTAGTATGGGCACGATCTGCATCATGCTCCGGTGTTCAAATGCCGCGTAGTTTGCGCCGGACCGGAAAAACGAGTTCCCTCCAGGTATGCGAAGGACGACGCTGGGCGTGTCTCGTTTTACCCCTTTCTTGCGCCTGCGATGTATATAACGTCATGCCCACCAAATCAAACAATGTTCAACGGTTCGCTAGTAATCAGGTATCACCATGCCAAAACCCCGAGACTCACAATCCAACCTCACCTCTCCAAGATGCGCATTTCAGCCTTGCCTATCGTGGACAGGAATTCATCCATCATGTGGATGAACACCCCAGAGTCCAGAACGTGCAAGGTGTCGGCGAGGCATGCCATGTACACGTTTCCCCAATCGGTGTCTACGAAGTTCCATCGTTGAAGGACGCACTGCGCACATGGCAACATACAATGCAACGGCTATCAAATACTATCTTCCACCAACACGAACATTATACACGAGGTACACCCACCTTGATCGGATGTGTTGACCATCCACTCTTGATTTTCTTGGCGTCCTTCTTTTTCTCGCATGCCAAGATTCTGCGAACAATCACTCTCTGCTTGTGCGGCGTCCTTGGATCAGTTGTGCCGGCAAGGCGAGTAAGCTCACCCTAGAGAACACACAGCCTGCTGGGAGATCCCAGAACACACAGCCTGCTGGGAGATCCAGGAGGGCGACTCAGGCGCCAGCGTATTTGCGGGCGTCTTATCAACTGGCTGCTCCTAGAGGCCGTGGTGCAAGGGGTCCTCGGGGATCTAATGTCCCCAAGAAGCTGAACTTTCCGAGGCTGAAGAAGACCGCAACCTCAGGGGGCGAAGGTATGCGGATGTCGGTTGTGCACGCGTTTTGTATGGGAAGGTTTTAAATTCAAAGGTTTATGACCGCAAACAACTATGTGTTTTCTTGATGAGGTCTGACTAGGTGTTGTTATTGTTTTCCGCATACTATGCAATTTTTTGCCAGAGGAAACCGAGGGCATCGAGACCACAGAGGCGACACAACAACGCGACTATTCTGATGCCGAAGATTCCGAATCGGCGCAGTCCGCGAGCAAGGGCGAGAGCGATGAGGTGCAGGCTAAAACCAAGCCAGCCGAACATGTTCATTCTGGAGCGATGAATGCATCAAAAAGGGGCATAGATAGACCTCTTGAAGTGGAGGGTGATGACCTGGTGGTCGCCTTGCGCGCATCACCAGAGGGGTCACGAGACCCTTCCGAGGAGGTGACCGTGTCGCGCGCCGTGTTTGATAGTCTTAAGCGGGCGCAAGATGACAACGCTAAGACCGTGGCTCGTCTGGAAGAAATGTTGCTGAAAACCTTGGCACAGAGTCATGGTGGGTCACGTCGCCGGAAAGCGGAGAAGCAGAGAGATCCCGGACTCGGGTGTGCCAACCCGAAACGTCGCCGTGTGGAGGCGCCCAGTGACGCTTCTGAAGGCGACGAGGACGACGAGAGTGATGATTCGCGCCGGCGCCATATGAGGTCGTCGAGGTCGCCTGTGCTGCAGAGCGCGCTTGATCTGCTCCCTGCAGACAAGGCGTGGAAGGTGAAGCGTGCGAGGTGTCTGGTTGTTGTCGTTAGGGTTTTTGTTTGTCGAATGTTTGTGTTATCTCCTACGTGCGGTTGAGGAATGGACAGACTCGATACTTGAGGTACCTTTTAAGGAGGTCATCATAAAATCGCGTTCGGTGTCCTATTTTCCCACGTGGTGTGCAGCGCATGTGCGACCTAGTCAGGGTCTACCTGTTTATGACGAAGCCGTACGCAACGATGACGTTTTACCCGAGTAGCGACGACAAAACCGACGGGGTTTGTGCGGTTTTGGACCGTCTGCCCTACAGTTACGCGTGCCTGGCCTTGGCTGCTGACAAGTCACGTCGAGCTGATTTGAACAAGACGCTGAGCGAGTGGAAGACCCGTGCTGCAGCGCGAGTTAGAGATATCGCGCTTCCAAAGCTCGGGTTGTTCCGTGACGAGAGAGATGCTTCGAGCCCATGGGCACCGGAGAAGGAGCGCAGCGCAGAGAAGATCCGGGAACGCATAGGGCTGGCCGGTGAGGGAGAAGGTACGTGATGAGTCATTGTGCTGTGGTGATAGCGGTTGACATTTCATGGTCGTTTCTAGTGTTACAGCTTCCATGTTTTGTGGTATGTGCAGAAACTCTTGCCCTGTCAAACTGGAGCAACGACCGCCAAGGCATGCCATTTGCATCCGCTGCTTTTGTCGCGTGCGCCAAGGCTGCATTCAAGCCGAAGAAGCCAGGAGTTCCTCTCACGCTGAATGTGTACCACTTCGCCTGGCTCGAGCACGTGGTGAGTGTGAAGGCTTGGATAGTGTGGCCGTTTTTATCGCTGTTCGGGCTGGCTAAATTGGTTAGATGGTTGATGCAGGTCACGGATGCTGTCATGTATTGGGAGGAGCGCAAAGGCCGCCTTTCCAACTCTGCGGGTGGAAACGGCCACGTAGTCAATGGGCTCAAGGTGCTCGCCAAAGGAGCTGTTGAGAGGGCTATCGGGGTGTTCAATCCCGAATGGGATGCTGAGCGTCAGGCATGGATTTGGGGCCACCACGGTATGCTTATTTCGGTTAGTGGGCTCGAAGGGATGAGGCCTGCAGGCGGATGCCAAGCCGACGATCTCGGCTGTGACGAAGAGTTGTCCGCGTCCTTTGGTGATGAGTAGAGTAGGCAGCGATTGTGCTTGCGCTGCAAGACGTATGGTAGTTCGAGTGTCGTCGTTTTTTGCTGTTGTTTGGTTTCTGATGTACTGCATGGTGGTTGTGGGTAGGGAGACACTTTTAGTGGGGTATGTATGCGGAAAGTGTGGTCTTGTATGCGGTTTCTAGTACCATTTTGTCAACTTATATTTGTAACTGCCTGTAGCTGTAGTTAGTGTAGTTATTTAAACTTTGTGTGGTGGTGCACCTTATGTGTTTCCTTTGCTATATGTACTTCGAACCCTATAGTGAAGCACACATTCTCCCAACTTTTCTCAACTCACTCGATACTCTCCCCTAGGAGCAACCCGCTCGACATTCAAGTAGGGCCTAGGCTACTAAGCCTAGGCCCTAGATTAATCTACACTTTAACTCTCATTCTCGTTCTCAATTTCGACACATTTTGTGTGTTTGGTGCTGTAAAAGTATTCATTTTCCAATGTCGCATGTTTGAAAATGGAGCTTATGCATATAGAATTGGTAGAGGACGGTGTGGTACCCTGTATTGCCAGCACGCGCGGCGCGTGTCGCCGCGCGCCGTGATTTGCGGCGGCATTATCGCCGAGAATTACGGTGGTAGGTGGATTGCAGAATGTGGAGACTAAATCGTGTACGTTAGGTCAATATCTGAACCCAATATTGAGCGGATGTGATGGAGAAGTGGAGTTAGATGGAGTCTTGTGATAGGTTTGAAATGTTGCGCGGATTACCAGATGTCTGCACGGCTTTGGCTGGAATTGATGGATGGGCGGTTTTTGTGTGGTTAGGGCTGTGAGTCGGTTCGTGATTCTATTGGTTTCGCTTACGTGTGGAAATGTGGACGGTCCACATGGTTTCACGCTTGTGGTTGCGCTGTATGCGAAATGGTATCGCGGATTAGTAACGTATCGCACGAAAGAATGGGTGTGTGACACTTGGAGGGTCGTGCGAGGACGATGGGGGTAAGAATCGGCGGTCGCCATGCTTTTGAACAGAGTATGGTGTCGGATGCCGATTGGTTATATGCTCCATTGTAGGTGTTATGGGTATGGTTGCGGTAACCGCCACGTGTCTTATGGGTGATGCATACTGGGTGTAGGGATAAGCGGATGAGGTATGAGCTGGCGGTGTTGGCGACGATGGCGATATGAGGATTGCGAACATGTAACGCAGCGTGCGAGTTTGTGGAGAGACGACACTTGTAGTGACGGGATTGCGGTTTCGGCCTGAGCAGGGGTGCTGTGTGTTTGGTTGCAGTTAATGCTACGTGTCATGTAGTGGCTGCATTGTGGTGGTAGAGATGAATGGATGGGATGTGATGGTGTGATGGTGGCGGGATGCGCGATTTTCATCGCGCGAAGGGGTAACGAATTGTGTGAGATTGTATGTTTGCGACACTTGTAGAGTCAGGATTGAGTTATAAGCACAAAGATCGTACGGTGTAAGATGGCGTTCACTTGTGGAAGTGATCGCCTACGTGGCGGCGGTTGTTGAAGTAGTTCGCCACGTGGAGTTGCAGTACGGGTGGGGGCTCTTGTGATGCGTTTTTGCAGCTTGCTGGTGATGTCCTCGAGTCACTTACACATAGGATGTTGAGTAACTAGGCAAGCGACTATGGGGATGGATTTGGAAACCGCATATGTGTAGAGGTTTGCATGTAATAAGTATCCGGAAACAGCCCGTAAAGTGACGCAAAAGTTGCTGAACAAGTCACGCGTGCACCCACAAATTTGAACCTGAACTCTTTTCTTGCGTTTTCCAAGTAACCCTAGAGTTGCGGTTTCTTAACTTTAAAGTTTTTTTTCGCACTTCCCTTTTCCGCGATGTTGCCCACCCCCCGGATCGTAAACGCTGCTTCAAAGTCGAGCTGGGAGGGGGATACGAACAGATGGGATGGGATAGGGGAATACGTTAGTGAATATGAAAACTGGAATAAGAGGATAAGGGGTAGAGAGTTGGGAGCAGGCGAGCATGAGTATGAAATCAAGCTTGTCAGCCTGCCAGATTTGAGACGAGGCCTTCAAGTCAAGCTGATTGGGGGGGGGGGAGATGGGGAGACGAGAATATGTGATGGGGTAACGGAATATGAGAACGAGTGAAGAAGGAAATAACGTATGAGGGACAAAGGGGAAGAGTCGTTGAGAGCGGTCGAGCATGCCGATGAATGGAATAAGGGAGGAGTTTGTCAAGAAAAGGTCGTTGGGAAGCTTCCGACACGCATCGACAGATTCATTGACAAGTTGAGTGACTTGGAAAGCAATCAAGTGGAGCAAACAAGGTGACGGGTGGAGCAGACAAGTTGACGGGTACACTCTATGCCATGCTGTCTGGGTGCTGGCCATCGTTTAATGGAGGGGTGAGGCGATTGGATGAGAGCAGGGATTGGGAGGATTCCTACTGGTGGTTTGTGTCGCAGCACGCAAAGAATCTCGTCTGTCGGATGCTGTCGGTGGATCCTGAGATGCGACCTACGACTGAGGAGATTTTGAGCGATCAGTGGGTGAAGGGGCAAGGCAGAGAGATCGTGCGGTATAGGCCGACTCCTTTGTTGCAACAGGCCGTTTCAACAAGCAAACAGCGCCCTTTTCGAGCCCGAGGTCGTTGCAATTTGACTGCAATGACGCTAAGAGGAAAACCAGACAGGGGAGAGTCTGGGGCTGCTGCTGTGGGTGCAGCAGAGACTAGCAGCACATCATCTACAGGGGTGATGACAGTAGCTACACTGCAGTCGTACCCTTCACTTCACACACGTCTGTATCTTCTTCCATTATCTCTCCATCCTCCTTTCCTAGTGTCCAAGACCAAGAAGGATGCAAGCAGCAGGGTGGGTTCAGAAATTAGGTGGCAAGAGTAGGGTGTACAACAGTCAAAATCAGAGGGTAGCAATTATATTAAGCAAAGATTTGCCTGAGGCAACAGCCGTAGATAGTGAGGAGCTAGTTCAAAAGGGCTGAAATACAGCACTCCTAACCATGCTTTTTATGCATGCAGTGCTGTGAAACCTCAAGAACAAAACGAAGGAAGTTTTACAACCCACCAAATTTGTTTAAATAGAAGCAAACCGACAATCTCATACAAAAGGAAGTAAAAATCAACAGCCCACCAAGGTTGCTTCACATTGAAAAAACCAGAAGCCCACCATACCGTATCCCCCCGGATATACCCCCATGGGGGGCAATAATAAAACAGGTTTTTTCATGGGGGTGGGCTTATAATCGAGTAAATTTATAAGCGCCGGCATTTATAAAATGACATACATATTTTTTTATATCTTTTAACACCAAACTGTAGGTCTCGTGCTTGCCTTTTCAATCGAGTCGAAGTTACATGGGATCGTCTGTGAAATTCTCGCGCGCGCTGGGAGATACACCCAATCTGACTCACATCCAGCTCCTGATAGGTCCTGCTGACTGGACCCGCATCCAGTGCAGGGTCCGAATGTGAAGGGAACCGAATCTGCAACATATCCGCCTGCTAAAGTAAAAATCGTTACAGCTTTTTGAACACATTTCAAATTTTAAAGTTTACGTGCGCTTATAATAAAACAAGTTTTTTCAAGGGGTGCGCTTATAATCGAGGAGGGGATATAAGCGCCATATGCCAATTAGAAGCGCCAGGCGCTTATCCTAGGGTGGCGCTTATATCCGGGGGGAGACGGTATTTGTAAACAGCCCACCAAACTTGAAAACAGCCCACCAAACTTGAAAACAGCCCACTAAACACAAGAACGACACTGCTCCGATGCACTCCCGAAAGGCGGGAATGAAACCAACGAGGAGTAAAAAGGTAAAGGCTTCTCATCAAGTACAGCAGGAACAGCTCCTCTGCCTTCCTTCAGCTTGACTTGAGGCCTTCATCAAGCCACCCTTCAGACGCAGCTTTCCTTCAGGACTTGAAGTATTCAGCTGCAGCTTTTCGGGGAAGGACCCAGCAAACTCAAGCTCGCATTCCTGCATTCAAAGGACGATGATTGGCAGCAAATGAACCACAGGAACCAGAGAATTAGAGAACGAGTTCCAGGAGAGAATGAGGGATCTGTACTAGAAAATAAGACAGGAAAAACGTGTGCTCTTTACCAGGGTGATTCACCCTTTGTATGCTGAATGAATCAAGTTTGAGGCAAGACTAGATACAAAGATAGAGAACAGGGGTGAGAGAGGACAGGGGTGAGAGAGGACAGGGGTGAGAGAGGACAGTGGTGAGTAGGGGTGTAATCGGCGTTCACATACGCAAAACACAAGAGACAGTTCAACCAGCAGATGCACATGTGACTTCAATTGTACGTACCTATTAAGGACTCCACTGATCTATCCCTCCATGACCGACAGGATCAAAGTTTGCAATCGCAAAACACGCGCCACAGTTGAGCAGGGACATGAGGGAAGAGTCCTGGCAGTGCAATTCGATGCACTCCTCAGTACTTGGACCTGAAAGGAAGTAGCAACACCGATAGGTATAATGGCATTAGGACCTGAAAGGAAGTAGCAACACCGATAGGTTTAATGACATTAGGACCTGAAAGGAAGGAAGTAACAACACTAGTACTTGTTGAAGGAAAAGGTACGGTGCTACTAGCACTGGAAAGGGAGAGAAGGGAGCGAGAGAGAGGGAGAGGGGGTGACAGAGAGGAAGCGAGAGAGAGGGGGCGAGGGAGAGGGAGGTTTAGGGGAGAGAGCGGAAGGGAGAGCGAGGAAGATACAGAGAGAAAATGTGCAATTGTAGGGTGGTAGACTGCACTTACAAGTCCCAATACCGTCGAGATTGACACATACTGCACCGTCGCACTGTGTGACTGCGCATGTTCCTGAGAAAGAGAGAAAGAGAGAGAGAGAGAGAGAGAGAGAGAGAGAGAGGATACCCCTTAGCCCTCTGCCCTCTGCCTCACCCCTCTGCCCTCCGCCCTCCAGAGCTATTTAAGGGCTGTTTCTCTCTCCCCCTCCTCATTATTTCGTGTGGAGTTCATTTCCGGCGGGAGAGAGCGAGAGAGAGAGAGAGGATACCCCTTAGCCCTCTGCCCTCTGCCTCACCCCTCTGCCCTCCGCCCTCCAGAGCTATTTAAGGGCTGTTTCTCTCTCCCCCTCCTCATTATTTCGTGTGGAGTTCATTTCCGGCGGCTCGCGCCGGCGGCCTTCGGCCGCCGCCGCTCGCCAGCGCGGCCTTCGGCCGCGCGCTCCTGGTGGCAAGGAACAAGGCAGTGGACTGCTATTCCAGGAGAAACACGCATGCACAGGAATCAAGGGAGCAGAGCCTAGGCAAGAGAGAACGGCATGCAATATTACACGCGGCGGAGGCCTACATCGTGTACGGCTCCGCCCCCTCCATCTCAAGCATCGAGCGCATACACGCCGATACCGCAAGAAGAAGATGCGCCGATGACTGGAGCACGTCCAGGGGGGTCCCGGCCTGAGCAGCCCCTACAAGATCCCCCACGTGGCGGGGGAAAGTACGGGCTAAGGGAGCTACCCCGGCGGGCGCTTCCGACACGGGCGCCAACGGCGACTCGAGCGATCCTGCCAAAGTCACGCAGGATCCTCGGGATCCTGGACCGAAACTGCTCGGAAAGTTCCGGGTGGCCCCACACACTGCCAGCTGCAAGTTCGCCACCACCTCGCACGCCTCCGCCAGATTCAATATCCGGCACATGGTCAGCATGGGGTCTCTCCCCACGGGATTGGGGTGAGGTGCAGTCTGCTCTTCGAGCGGAAACGACGCCGACCAGCCAGGAACGCGGCCAACAGTCAAGCACCCAGCGGAGAAGCCAGGAACCTGACGAGGGGAGCGATAGTCGGGTCTCCCCACCCGCGCGGGCAGATACTCGGCCAACATCGGCGCGCGCAGTGGGGCCACCGGGCCGGGATCCGCGGCAAAGGGAGGGTTATTTGTCACCTCGATGTGAACGTGAGTCGGCCCCCCGCTCGCCCGGGCCTGCCGCACCACATCCACGAATGTGTTCGCAGCGTGATCAAGAGCAGGATCCGGCTGGCGGCCAGATGAGCCGCGCCCTCCGCCATTCCGCCGGCCCCGCCGCCCAGCGGAACCACCCGAATTCGGACGCGGAGGGGACGGCTCGCGACGACCTGATTCCCAGCGACGCCCAGGCGACCCCTTCCCCCGCGTCGCCGGAGCTCGCCGAGGTGATTGTTGAGCGGGGGATCGCGCTCGGGGTGAGCGCTGGCCTGCTCGACCACGAGGAGACGGGCGCCGAGGAGAGCGAGGACGCTCAGGGGAGCGCGGATCCCCCTCCCTGCGCTGATAGTGTTCGCGACGCGCGGGAGATAGGCGACGAGGAGACGGCTGCCGTTGGGGATGACGCTGAGGCGAGCGCCCGCGCTGCTGCGGCTGCTGACCGTCAGGACGGTTCGACGCTACACGCGCAGGAGCCCACGAATACTCAGGGGGGGAGAGGCGCGAGGCTGGCTGATGGGGAAGAGTCTGCACCCGCTCGAATCGGTGAACGGGCTCGCTTGCGGAGGGATGCGCAGGCAGTCGTGGCCGAGGCTCGGCAGGCGCAGGCTCCCGCGGCGCGCTCTCCGCGGAATGCTCAAGCTCCGGATCCCGTCTTGCGGACGGGTCCATCACTCCCGACCGTAGCGCAGCAGATGCCAGCGCGCCGACGAAGGGAAGGCGAGACGACCGCGGCGCCGCTGGCGGGGGGCGAGGGAGTCGCAGTAGCAAGAGCAACGCGCGGAATCTGCGTCGGACGCGGCAGTCGCCGCGGACGAAGGGGTAGCGAGCGGGGACGGGGAGGCGGCGGTGCGCGGGGCACGAACAGACGCCGTACAGGAGCCAGCGGCTTCGCGAGAAACGCGGAGAGGCTGATACGTCAGAGCGCGAGAGGCGGCGAGGAGGAACTTCGCGAGGAGGCTGAGGAGGCTACGGAGAATGAGAGAAGTGACGAGGGGGACCCCTTATTTAACCCTGAAAGAGAGGGGTTGTTAGGGGTTGAAGTCGAGGAGGATGACGAGGAGTTGGATCGCCTACTCCAAGGAGAGGAGGTCCCCAGCCCACGTGCCCGAGGCGTTCCTGCCAACCAAACCAGATCCGAAGGTGTGGGGCAAATCCCAAGCCTGGGCCGAGCCGCATCTGCAACCCCAACCCCCAGAAATCGGACCGCGAGACCAAACCGAACCGCCCCCAACATTGCGGTTACCACCGCCCCAGCCAGTAACGCGGGCCCAACGCCTGCCACCCCCGCCCCAATCATCAGCGCTGACATCCTGGCAAGACGTCAAGACCTTTTCGCTGACATCGCCAACTGGGACCTCGGCCCGCTGCGCGACAGCAGACAGCCTCCCCTTGCCCGCCACCCTCCTCGCCCACTTCGCGAATCCTTCGCCATCTGCCTGCTGACCCCACTTCTGCACCTCGCCATAACCCCTGATTCCACTCCTGGTTGGAAGCTGCTGATGTTTCTCCCGCGAATTCTCCTGCGCTCGTCATCTGCACGAAAACCAGACTGGAAGGCAATGGGCGACAGACTGACGAGATTTCGCCAAGGGCAGTGGCGCGGCCTTTACGACGAGGCGGCAGAAGCAGTGAACAACAACCCCCAACCACGCCACGTACCTGACACCACGGGAAAGCTGGCGAGAGCCGAGGGATTAGCGAAAAGGGGAAACCTGGCGAAGTCCCTCCAGTCGCTAACTGCCACGCCCGTCTGCTCGCCAACCCCTGACGCATTGGCTGCGCTCACGGCCAGGCACCCAAGGGCCACCGCAGCCATCCCAGTCTGGGTGCAAGACTTTGCCCCTGAGACTCTGCCCTCAATCACAGCTCGCGAGTTCAGGAAGCTGCTGGCCCGTTGCCCCAACGGCGTAGGGGCTGGGCCATCAGGGACTACCTTCGAGCACTTGAGAGATGCGGCCCTTGGGAACACCGACGTCCTCCTACAACTGCATGCGCTTACCAACACGGCGCTAGCGGGTAAACTGAGCGCCGAGGCTGCAGATCTACTCACCGCTTCGCGCCTGCTCGCCTTCACGAAACCCCAAGGCGGAACTAGGCCAATAGCCGTGGGCGAATGTCTGCTGCGTATTGTCACAAAGGCGGCGCTCTTCCTGGCCGCCCCTGCAGCGCGCGACCACTTCACCCCGCTACAATTCGGTGTGGCGATCGCGGGGGGCATCGAGGCAGCGATACACGCGGCCCGCACCTACCTGGAGGAGTTCCCCGGAGCAACGGCCCTCCAGATCGACCTGGCAAACGCTTTCAATGCCGTGGAGCGCGCGGCGGTGTTTGAAGGACTGAAAGGCACGAAGCTTGACACCCTGGTCCCCCTCGTCCGCCTCTCATACGGCCGCCCATCAGCCCTCTACCTCGACCACGATTTCGAGGCGGCGCCTCTACAGAGCGCGCGAGGCGTGCGCCAGGGTGACCCACTGGGGCCTATGCTGTTCGCGGCCAGCATCCATCCCTGTCTCGCTGCAACGGCGACGGCCCACCCAGAGGTGGTCCTCCTCGCGTACGCAGATGACATCACCCTGCTAGGCGAGACTGCGAGCTGCACGGCGGCCTTCAACCACCTCACGGAAGCACTTCTCAGCCACGGCCTGTCCCACAACCCCGCGAAATGCGAAGCATGGTCCGCCACAGCCCTGGAGCCCGCTGCTCTGCCCCACGGCGTCACTATCTCCCGGGACGGGATCCGCGTCTTGGGCAGCCCGATTGGGCCCCCCGCCGACTGCGCTGCCCGAGTGCGGGAACGCCTTAAAGCTGCTGCTGAACCGCTCCCGCTCCTCTCCCAGATGGACCCGCAACTCTGCCTGCTCCTACTTACCCGCTGCGTGAGCCGCCGCGCTTCGTTCATGGTCAGAGCCACGCCGCTTGAAGCCCTACCGCTGAGGGAATGGTCCGCCTGGGGGGAAGAACTGTTCCATACCTACCTTGCCGCAGCACACACAGAAACCCCCAGAGCCCGGGTCGAGAGGGAGAGGATTTGGCACCAGGCCGCCCTGCCCGCGTCCCTGGGAGGCCTGGGCATCACCAACCCTGCAGTGGAGGGGGGACATGCCTACCTGGCTGCAGTCACTGCTGCTGCACACCTGCTGCGAACCTTCGGCGACGCGGCAAACCCTGCTCTCACTGGACTGCTGCCGCTAATGGACTCCAACGAGGAATCTACGTCCCTCCTCCCAAGGCGCCTTGCTGCCCTAGAAGCCGCGCTGCCTCCTGAGGGGATCGAGGCCCTCCAAGTGGGGAGACAGAGACCGGACGGGCCAAAGCTCCAACAGTCGCTCTCCCTCGCGGTTCAAACTGCAAGGTTCATGCAACTGCTCGAGAGCTCGCGGGAGATGGAGCTCAACCCACTGTTCGGACACACGCAGCGGCTGCAGTCCCTCTTGGGCCCCGGCGCAGGGGACTGGCTGCTCGCCGTCCCGCTGATCTCCTCCCTCCGCCTCGGGCCCTCTCAGTTCTCCACAGCGGCCTCCTTCCGCTTAGGCCTCCCCCTACCTGTGCCAAGGCGCTGCGACTGCAGATACCGCACCACATTCCCCGACGACCGCCTACCGAACCATTTGATGCGGTGCGAGAAAGGGGGGGGGAGAATTGCAACCCACAATGCCCTTCGGGACGAGTGCGCAAAGATAGCTGCGGAAGCGGGCTTCACCGTGCATAAGGAGACAACGGCTTACTCACCGGTCGAAAACCTCAAAGCGGATATCTCTATCCGCCATCCCGACACCGGTGAAGTGTGGATCTGTGACATCACGGTCACGGACCCCGTCTCCCACCAGGATGAATACGCCCGTAAAGCTCCCGGTTGGGCTGCTAGAATGCAGGCGGACAAGAAGGCAAGCAAATACGCCAGGCGGAGCGCTTGGGTGGGCTTTTACGCCTTGGCGGTTGAGACCTACGGTTACCCCTCGAGTGGAGTCCTGGAATTCCTTCACAGCTGCGCGGAGTTAGCGGCCATGCGGCGGTTCAACGCCACCCCCAAGTCGAGGGAATGCGCCAAGCTACTCACCGAGTACCGGCAGCGGTGGAGTGTGACCCTGCAGAGAGCGCAAGCCACTGCCCTCAGGGATAAGACCCATGAGGCCCTCACGGCGGATGCGCTCGGCCTGCAGGGCCCGTTTACTCCAATGAGTGAAGGGCAGCTGTATCAGTTGATAGAAGACCCCTCCGGCCATTAGGGCCGGGCGGGGAGGGGGGGGCTGGGGCTGGGATAGTGCGGGGTTAGCTGCTGTTTTGCTGTAGCCTGGCCGTGAGATTGCTGTAGCCTTACCATCTGTGTACCTCGCTGACATTAATACCAAGGCCCGTTCGAGAGAGAGAGAGAGAGAGAGAGAGAGAGAGAGAGAGAGAGAGAGAGAGAGAGAGAGAGAGACAGAGAGAGAGAGAGAGAGAGAGAGAGAGAGAGAGAGAGGGGGGGGGGGGGGGAGGGGGAGAGGGAGAGAGTGAGAAAGTCGGAGGAGATGAGAGAGGGCGAGGAACGTGAACTACTATGACTGGGAAAGGGGACATGAGCGTGAGCGCTTGGCAGAATTTTGAGTCGACTCAAAAGTCACTTTGAGTCGACTCAAAGGAAAGGGGACATGAGCGTGAGCGCTTGGCAGAATTGGAGGTATTCTGCCAAGCAGTGCTGCAAAGAACAAGCACACTACGCACCTGTGCAAATGCCGTTGTGCCGCGTATATCCTTTTGCGCAGTAACAGACCGCACCATCATTCTTGTCGACACATACTTCAGTCTCGGAATTACAAGGGTATGAGTCGCATGTCCCTGGCAGAAGCGAGGGAGAATGGAAGGTAGTTTTGAGAGTGGGATATAGAGAGACAAAGAGAGCATAATTTAAAACGTGGGATATAGAGAGACAAAGAGAGCATAATCTAAAACGTGGGATATAGAGAGACAAAGAGAGCATAATCTAAAACGTGGGATATAGAGAGACAAAGAGAGCACAATCTAAAACGTGGGATATAGAGAGACAAAGAGAGCATAATCTAAAACGTGGGATAAAGAGAGACAAAGAGAGCATAATCTAAAACGTGGGATATAGAGAGACAAAGAGAGCATAATTTAAAACGTGGGATATAGAGAGACAAAGAGAGCATAATTTAAAACGTGGGATATAGAGAGACAAAGAGAGCATAATTTAAAACGTGGGATATAGAGAGACAAAGAGAGCATAATCTAAAACGTGGGATATAGAGAGACAAAGAGAGCATAATCTAAAACGTGGGATATAGAGAGACAAAGAGAGCATAATCTAAAACGTGGGATATAGAGAGACAAAGAGAGCATAATCTAAAACGTGGGATATAGAGAGACAAAGAGAGCATAATTTAAAACGTGGGATATAGAGAGACAAAGAGAGCATAATCTAAAACGTGGGATATAGAGAGACAAAGAGAGCATAATTTAAAACGTGGGATATAGTTTTGTGCCATACAGAGAGCTGGTTAGACCGTGTAGAGAGATGGGATGGATCCAGTTAAATGAAGACCGATGAGCGTGCAGGGAAAATGCGAGGCACACAAAGACGCACGTACCTTTACAATTCGGCGGCGCGCCTGTGTATTCGGGCTCCCTGCAAACGCATTGTCCAACGTAATCCGTTTCTTTGCAACGTTCCAAGGGGCCACACTTCGTGAATATGCATTGTGCTGGCAGTTGTTGGTTGGCAAAATCATCAACGAGGGAGAGGGGAGGGGGAGGAAGAGAAAGAGAGAGGAAGGGGGGAGGGGGGGGGGGACGGGGGGGAGGCGGCTGAGGGGAGAGTGTCGGCAAGAGACAATTGCTAGACACGGCATCCATTAGCAGGGGTTCTTGCAATTTAATGGACTTGGTACAAACAACTTCCGAATCACATGATGGACTCCTCTCCTTCTGTTCCGTGCTCTCTATACTAGCTTGTACGATACAGAGAGCGTGTGTGAGAGCACAGTGCGTGAAGGTGACGACAGGCTACGTACGAGGGCATGTGTGAGAAGGAGTTTTCATGTATCCAAACTTGCAGTTTTGAGACGTCTCAGAATACGTACGCGCGCAGGTGCGATAAGGAGTTTGCATGTATCCGAACTTGCATCGGCAGTAAGACGTGTCTTGCTTCTCCACACACTCCTCGTTGAGACCACAGACTCGTATTGAGCACGGCGCTGGCAGATGGTGGGAGGATTAATGGGGGGGAGAGGGAGAGGGAGAGGGAGGGAGAGAGAGAGGGAGGGAGAGAGGAAGGGAGAGAGGGAGAGAGGGAGGGAGAGAGGGAGGGAGAGAGGGAGAGAGGGAGGGAGAGAGGGAGAGAGGGAGGGAGAGAGGGAGAGGGAGAGACGGGGGAGGGAGAGAGAGGGAGAGAAAGGGGGACGCTGGCACATGGTTGATTTGAGATGCTACCTTGCCCACATCGACCACGGGTTTGCATAGGCATCGATAAAGAAACGACTTGAGAGGGGAGAGAAGAGGACAATCCAGGGGGAGGGAAGAGGAGAAGTACTTACGCTTGCAAAATCCTGGGACCCCAAGATATCCTGGCTTGCAGTTGCACGTTGGTCTGAGGTTCACCATCTCGCATACTTCGTTTTGACCGCATTCATAGACTGCGCATGTGGCTGGTAAGTGGGAGAGAGAGGGGAGAACGAGAGAGGTGGTGAGGGATAGTGAGGCGAGGCAGGGGAATGGACGGTGGTAGAGGAAGGAGGGTAATAAGAGGGAAAGAGAGAAAATATGCAAGGAAAGTGAGAGGGAAAAAATAAGAGGACTGGAAAGCCAAACATACTACATACCATCACAGTATTTGCCTCGCGCGACGTATCCTGCAGCGCATTCGCAAGTCCCAGCGCCTCCAGGGACTTTCTCCACGCAGTGTTGGTTCGGGGGGCAGTAGAGAGCATTGCATGTTGCTGCAAGATGGATTTGGTGATTGATAGGGAGAATTGGGAGAACGAGACAGGGGAAGAGGAGAGAGCATGACAGAGAGGTTATGACAAACGAGCAAGATAGGCAGCAACGCGGGTGACGATGAAAGAGAGAAGAATATCAATTAGAGAGGCATTGCATAGGAGGGAGAGAAGGAAAGGCAAAGAACGCATGTGAGTTTAGTGAAAGAACAAGCACAGCACATACCAGCACACGATCCCGCCTGGCCGACGTATCCGCTCCTGCATTTACAGGTCGGCACACCTCCTACCATCGCACATTCTTCCAATGGTCCACAATTTATGGCTTCACAGGTGCCTGTTGGATGGATGGAGGGAGACAGGAGATGGGAAGAGGGGAAGATGGGAAGAGGGGAAGAGGGGAAGAGGGGAAGAGGGGAAGAGGGGGAGAGGGGGAGAGGGGGAGAGGGGGAGAGGGGAAGAGGGGAAGGTGGGAAGAGGGGGAGAGGGGGAGAGGGGGAGAGGGGAGAGAAAGCAACCAGCATCGCCACTAATGCAATGACCTTTGGCAGGGAGCGTGCTGGTGTGGATGTGGCATTGGAGCAGGAAGGGATGAATATGTGGGTCAGCCACGCAAGTGAGGCAGCGAAGTGGAGAAGGGAAACGCAGGAAGGAGCAAAATGACAGAAAGAGGACATCAGGAGAGGGGAGAAGGGTCAGGGAGTGGAATGTGCACGAGTGAATGATAAAGGGAAGGCAACGGGTCAAGTACCAGGACCCTTCTTCTGGCAACGGTAAATGAGAGCATCAGGACTTGGATATATGGACCATCACGTACTAGGGCAGGCTTGAATGCTCATCTGGGAGTTCCAAACACAGTCACGAGGACAGTTAGCCGGGCAGTTAACTGCAACAGAATCCAAGAGGGATAAAGAGGTACAGGTGCAAATTAGCAACAGAATGAAAGCAAGACGATCTGCTTTGCTGCCAAAGCAGACAATCTGTCTACCTTCTCTCAATCACCAGCAATTGTCTAGAAAAACCACATCTGCCACGTGACTACTCCCCATTTGCTATGTGACCAACAGTGGCTAGATAAGCAACTTCACCTCGCCTTTATCACAGCGATCAAGAGTAACCATCCTCATTACTCCCCAATGGATGATCATTGGATGGACGATGATTGGATGGAACGTGTGTAAGTTGCCGAGCAAGCGCACCTTTCTTACAGACCGGATAAAGTCCAGATGTGTCACAAAGGTATCCATATGGACAGGGCATGGCCGGGCATGATACTGGCAGATGGAGGGTGGAGATTGAGTATGATGAGAGGGAGAGAGGGGAGGGGAGCACGGGTTGGCAGGGAGGGGAGGTGGACAGGGAAGGGGAGATGGGGGGTTTGAAGAGTTCATATGGTTAAACACCAAAAGGTTAGCTTTGATGAACACCACACCACAAGGCCAACAAAGCTTGTTGGGCAATGCCTCAGATCCAGAGAAATAAAAACAGAGATAACGGGGTACATAGGGAAACATAGAGAAAGAACTGCCACGGGTTTTTTTTTATCCATTGTACGTACGTACGTACCTATGCAATTTCCTGAGACTGGATCCGGTGTGTAGCCATCGTTGCACTTGCAGTATTGAAAGGGCGGATTGTTGTTCCACCACCACCAGTTGTCATATTTCTCAACGCAATTGCCATCACCACAGTTGTCAGTGGTGCATTCTTCACGAAGAAAGTCTGGACACAGATGGAGAGAAGACAGGAGTGTGTAAGCAGGTCAGGCATGCGGGATGGGACACCCACCACCTTCCATAAATCAACAGAGGCAAACCAGCAGGTGTTTTCTGAGTCCTCTGAAAATCACCTGCAATCCAGCAGGGGGAATGGTACTTATTCAAATGGGATTGGCTTGAAAGACACATCAAACTTTTCCTGATTGCTCAAACTGACCTGTAGTAGGTGTTTTGAGTCGACTCAAAACACGACTCAAGTTGAGCTGTGGTATTGTGCAAGCGCACGCCATATATATACAGGCCATGAACATATCCAAGCAAGCAAATTATTTCCGTGAGCCACACAAACCTCATTCACACCACTGCTTGACTTCGGATGAACCTTGAGAAAGAGGTGAAGGAGAGGGGGAGAGATGAAGATGGTGAAAACGGAGTACAGATACCAGCACATTCGTACGAAAATCGTAGCACAAAGGACAGCACATAGGTACGAAAATACCAGCACAAGTACAAAAATACCAGCACAAAGGACAGCACATACGTACGAAAATACCAGCACAAGTACGAAAATACCAGCACAAGTACGAAAATACCAGCACAAGTACGAAAATACCAGCACAAGTACGAAAATACCAGCACAAAGGACAGCACATACGTACGAAAATACAAGCACATAAATACGGAAGCACCAGCACATAAAACACCAGCACATACATACAGACATACCAGCACAAAGGACAGTAACACATGCGTACGTACCAGCACACACCCGGTTCTGGCAATAGTATCCAGCCACACACTCGCATCTTCCAGCGATCCCGTTTGGGAGGTCACGTAATTAAAGTGTATTTTTGAGACGTGTCAAAAGAACATATGTACGTACCAACACACTCCCCGTTCCGGCGATAGTATCCAGCCACACACTCGCAGCTTCCAGCGATCCCGTTTGGGAGGTCTTCAAAGCATTCTTCCAAGTCACCACACGGCTTTGGACTCCACGGATCGGCCAGAATTTTGCATGTGGCTGGCAGATGGTTGGTGAGAGGGGGTATGTGGGAGATTGGATTGTGCAAAGGTAGAGAGAGAGAGAGGGAGAGAGTGAGAGAGAAAGAGAGAGAAGGGTGGGGGGGGGGTTCTGAGATACTCCCTCCCTTCTCAAATCTCTCCTATCAAAAGCAATTACAGTGCAGTCTCAGCAGGACCCGTGGGCCCCACACTCTCGGCATGACCCATGGGCCCCACACTCTCGGCATGACCCGTGGGCCCCACAATCTCGGCATGACCCGTGGGCCCCAGCATATGCTGCGTTGCGGCAGACCTAGGTTGCGGAGGGTGACAGGGAGGAGGGAGAGTTTCAACCAAGCAACACCCCCTACCCCTCCTATCCTAGCGACAGATTGGCAGAAAGGAGGGGTAGGGGGTGTTGCTTGGTTGGAAGTACTCTTGTGTAGTCTGGGGGGGGGGGGGGGGGGGGGGGGGGGGGGTCTGTCATAGGCAAGGAAAAAAGCAAGAGGCCGTGTGGTTTATGGAATATGAGTTGCTTCGTTTTGTCTAGCTACATCAGTGAGGAACGAAGGGAGACTGGCATAATTGAAAAAAAGCATACGTACGGGCACAAACGTGTGTCTCTCTGCGAAGGTACCCGTCCTTGCACACGCATTTAGCATGGGTCCGTTTTTCCATGCTTGGAGGAATGCAGTCTTCTTCTGGGCTGCAATTCACGTCAGGGTGATCACATGTTGCTGGAGGATGGATGACACGAGAGGGGAGGGGGTATGCAGGAGAGAGGGAGGTGAGCACGTGTTCTCTAGTGGCGTTCAGCTGTTGACATTGCACATGTCAGCATGCAGTTTGGACTGAGCAATGAATTCTTAGGAGTTAACACAAGTTTATCGTATGGAATTGGAATTGGAATTGGAATTTGGACGGCTGCAAGTTGTAGGAGTAGTGGGAAAAACAATACAAGTCTAGTTTTGAGGCGCCTCAAAACTAGTAGTGGGAAAAACAATACATTTGTCGGAAGACTTCCCGTGCAAAGGCGGCTCAACCATTTCCTGTACTCCCATACACAACGTACCGAGACAAGATCCAGGCTCGCCAATCATGTGATCGCCACATGTGCAGGTAATATCGTCGCGACAAACGGCTGGGGGCCAGCACCACCTTTCCCAGCACTTATCTGGCAGATGATTGGTGGGGAGAGGACGGGAGAGATAGAGAGGGGGAGAGCTATCAATTATAGCTATGGGGCACATCAGGGATGCTTCTTGAATAGGAAGAGAAGGGGGAGTGAAGGGGAGGGGGGAAGAGAGAGCGAGGGAGTTCACATACGCACCGATGCAAGTCCCATTTGGCAGCTGGACGGTGCCGTCCATAAAGCAAATGCAGATGGCTTCTAGAGTGACAGGGTCATGCTCGCACACTCCTCGCTCACCACAGTCCTTGGTTTCGCAGTCATCTGATAGAGAGGGATGGAGGACATAAAAAAGGGAGAAAGGTAGAGAGAGGTGAAGAAGAGAGTGCAAATTGGGGGAAGATGGCGAGAATGGGGGATGAGAGGTAGAGAGGAAGGGGATGAGCGGGGATGAGCTTTGAGGAGCTACAAAACTACACGTGTGATCTGTCTCTTACCGAGGGTGAAGGAGGGAGGAAGCACCAAGTAGGCGTCACGAAAAGCAAAGGAAACCACCAATACACACCTCTGCAAGTGCCATCAGATTGCATGGTAAAGCCGGTGCTGCACTGGCAGGATGCCGTTCCAGATACAGGGTCCTTGGCACACACAGCCGAGTCATGGCATCCCTTGAAATTGCAGTTATCTGACAGGGAGGATGCAAAAAACAAAAGTTGGGGTGGGGATAGGCAAGTAAGTACCATTTGAAGAGGAAGGAAAGTAGTTTGGAACACCCCAAAGCTCTATCTCACGGTACTATCAGGAAATGCACGGCCTGGGGGAAATGCACTTTGTGTGAAATTTTTGCACGCAAAAATAAAAAAGTTCAGATAATTTACCAGTATTGATGATGGCAAGCGTGGAATGCAACGGAAAAGAGGAAGGCAAGCAAGAAAATGCACGAGAAAGAGGATATGAAGTAGAGCCATTCCAGCCGCCCTGAGCTGAGATGCCTCGAAATGTTACGTACCAGCGCAATACATGTCTTCAGCAACGTCTCCAACGCAGCTAGAACCAATGGCACATCCCGTGACGATGCATGATGCTGGCGAAGGAATGGGGGAGGAAGAGAGAGGGTTCAGAGGGAGGGGAGGGGAGCAGAGGGGAAGCAGAAGGAAGAGGGGGGAGTGGCGGTTGTGCATTAAAACATAGGACCATTTGAGAGGGAGGGGGGAGGAGGGAGGGTAAGGGGTGCTTCCATTGCTAGAGGAGGCGAGGGGTGGTGAGACTGAGAGCGAGTATTGAGGATGGGGTAAAGCAAAGGAGGCCAAATATACGCACCAGCACAGGAGTTATCCGGTAGCATGTAGAAACCATTGTTGCAACGGCAGGTTTTGGTTCCACTCTGCTGGTCCGTGTCACATGTAGCATTGGGACCACAGAGATCGCAGATTTCTGACAAGAGGGGTGGCAATAATGAGAGATAATGAGAGAGAGGGTGAGGATAATGAGAAATAGGTTGCAGCAAAAGCAGACACATGTTAATGATACACACGTGCCACGCAGCCAGCATATACATTTTCGTACCAATGCAATTTCCAGACACATTTCTGAAGCCCTGCTTGCAGATGCAGAATGCCAGGTCACGCTTGCCCTTGACACACGTGGTGTTGGCACCACATCCCTTCACAACGCACGAGTCTGGAAGGATGATCAAAGAGGGGGAAGAGATAGGCGAGAGGTAGGGGGGACTCGCAAGAGTGTGAGCGATCGGGATGGGAAGTCGGGTGGAGGAGAGAGGGAAGGAGAGAGCGAAGGAGAGTGGGAAGGAGGGAGAGGTTGGAAG